TATTTTAAGTGACTGTTATATGATGTCAATGTTTCATTTCACCTTAGTCAATTAAAGCTCCATGGTTTATACCTAACCAACAAATTCACAGAGAACTCCAGATGGAAACAGTGCTCGACACATTAAAAAAGTAGCAAATGAATTTCTGTATTCTTCCCGTCCTTCATCTCATTCCGCCTGAATTTCACCTAGGTCGAAACAGCGCAAAACATCCAAGCCGATTCAAATCCAATATTTCCCAAAGACATCTTAAAACCTCCCGTAAACCAATAATATCATCCGTATCTAAATAGAATCTTTCACGTTCCGCTTCCTGATTGTTCGATAGGGCAATCCTAACAACCTACCCCCCTCTCAAAAAAAAAAATCAAAAATAAATCCCAGCTGCTTCTAACAAACAAACAACGAATTTAAACGAGTCAGAGTTCTAATCTCAATTTGTCAGGAATGCCAAGTCTCCAAAATGTCAGTATGTAAAACCGAAACCCCTCGAAAGACCTTTGGTCGAACGAGAAGAAATAAATTAAAAAAAAATTTCACCTTATCATTCCTTCATACATTGGAATGTTTTGTTTCATCATAGTGGGCTTGTGTCTTTCCCAAGCGCAATGTGGCAGTCGAAGCTGGCCGAAGGCGCGGCCTACTTGGGGGAATCGAATTGCGCGGTCCCGCCCCCCCCCTCCCGCCGTCACCCGGCAATGTCCAGATGCTTTGCGAATTATGTTTAACTGAATATTGTAAAAAAATCACATTTTCAAGTAAGATTTTGAATCAAAAGTACGCTATTTTTGATTATTGACCGCCCAAAAGTATTCGTGACAAAGAGAGCAATTACTTCAACAGTTCTAAAGCCTTTGGGTGGATACATACATGCTTCTCTCACTTTTATATAACAGACAAGAAGATATATTTATCTTAGTTGATAGTTTCATACAAAGAAATGGTGGACCATTAATGAAGTGAATTTTGACTGAATAAGTGACAACAATAAATAAGGTGTACTTAAGAATCAACTTTCTTTTGAGGTAATACGGGATGCGAATACTAAACCACCTGTATATATAATTCAGTTGTATGTGGGTTGATGAATCCAGAATGATTCCAGAATTTAAGAATACGTACTATGAAAAGAATTTACTTCTTTTCATAGTACGTCACACTTACTTTTTAATGTTTTTTGATGTTAAATAAATAAAAACATTCTGAGGGAGCTGTTTGGAATTAATCATTGTTGTCTCTTAATTTTAAATTTAAATTTTTAATATTTGCTGGGAAAACATTTCTATAACTGTCTATACTTGCGATTGGATGGGAAATATTAATTGAACAAATGTAACATATACAGTTGAATTAACAAATTAATTGAACTGTGAAACAAATGTTATAATAAAAAATGGCATTGGCCTGAGACGTAAAACGAAACAAAAACTCGAGAGAATGAAAATGTATGAGCAGTACATGTGCTAAAAATGTTATTGCTCGTGTAGACTTTTTTCTCTTTAATCAGCGAACGCTTTTGAAGTACGGTAGTTTTAGTAAAAGCAAATAAAGCGTCAGAGGTCCTGAACATGTGCTTTTCGTAAAAACTGGGTCACGCAGTGTAGTGTCGAAGCGGTTGCGTTAATGGAAGAGACCGACCAACCAATGCGGGAAACCCCAGGATTTTGGTGATGCTAATGTAGTACTAATTCGGGGTGAGATGTTTGCACGCGTAGCCCGCGGTTTGAACCCAGAATTATTCATTTTGCTCCATAGATGTGTTATCTGATAATGAAACTGGCGAAGTGATTATTCATGTTGCCGTACGATAAGCGCTCGACGAAATTTAACAGTTTGTGTGAAAATTGGGTAATAAAAACGTTAATTATTTGTCCACCAGCATGTGGGTGGTTCCAGGAAGAGGATATACTCATAAATGTAAGTGGTACTTTGTAAATGGACAGAAATGAGAATTAATAAACATTTCCTCTAATACCTGTCATGCTAATTGTGATTTACAATATTTCGCACGTTTTAGCTGCTGTGAATTGAGATTCATTTGTATTGCATTGGACTGGAATACAGAGTACATCTCAATTATTTTGTCAATTTCACATATTAATTCAGCACTAGAATTTGTATAACCTTGCTCTTTTATTTATTTTCTATTACCTGTTTAGTTCCTATAAAATATTCTTGAATCGTGAATTTATTTACAGCTTTTTAGTACATAGCATAAGTATTTCTGTTTACGATATATTCGGTTCAAAATAGATCCAAATGGTAAGTGATCTAGCGAGTGACGTCATGCTCTAGGATCATTTAGGATACTTGAACGAATGAAGGACGGCTTGTTATTCACGGTGTACTACGGGGCTTCTTATTACCCTCATAACAGTAGGACTAATAAATGGATTTTAATGTAAAGACCCCAACGATCTATTTTTATCGTGAGGTATAAAGACTTGTAAACTGTTACACTAAAAAGTATTTTCACGCCAATAGATTTCCAACGCTAATAAACACTTTGTTTTATTTTGGCCACTTCGTATTAGTGCATAACAATCGAATTTATATTCTACTTTGGATTCTATAGAACCACAATCTTATTGCTACGTCACAGATGTAAGGATTATGTAGGTGCACACGATCGTAATACCAAGGATTTGACTAATTTCCAAGAGCATGCATGAGCGTATCAAAGTTAGCTACGTTACTTTCCAGAGGACTTTGGAACATTCTGCAGAGCAGCCTCTATGAAAATGGGGGACAACATCAAACATGAAAACGATTATACTATAAAAGCCTGAAAACTAGAAAAGAGGAAATTTATAGTTTGCATACTTTATGCCATATAAAATTTAAAATACACATGACTGAATAAATATTCAAATTTTCATGTCATAGGATAGGTTGAGCAGTACCAAAATATTAGTAAGAGAGCCCGAGGTACGATAATTTTCTACTCTTATTTGTTCGTTAAATGTATAAAATTTTCAAAAAGGAAGGGATTGGAATTTTTTCTATTTATTTCAAAGAGAAATCCATGAAATGTTCATTTTAATTTCCTATGAAGTCCTTATGATTACATTTTTAATGAAAATGTTCTGAAAATTATATTCGTGAATGTGGTGAAGGGTTTAAAATCGAAAAGCTGACGTAAATCACGCAAAATAATTAAATAATGTGGGATTGAAGGAACAATTAAACCATAATATGGTTTAAACTTTCATTAATGCAGATTTTGATAATTACGGTACATATATTTATATATCTCTGAATATCCTCTTTATAAATTGCCTAATGCTCATTAATGACACACATTATTAAAACATATATTATTTCCAACGAAAAAAGGTTAAAATGGATATTAAAAAATATGAACTTTGACTCCAATGATCTTGGATATAAGACAGTTTTCATTCATTGCTTAACAAAGTTGAGTGTTTTATTGAATTATGGTTCATTATTTATATTCATGAACTTATTTGAATGTTTGTAAAATGATAAATGAGAGCTGGGAAACAATTCATTGGAGATGACGATGTAGTGTTCAAAACCACATGCACTAATTTTTACTAAATTCATTTCAGGAAAACGTAACGCAATGTATTTCCGATTTGCGTATGGGATACAACATTTCGTCTGGACAAGTCGTATATTCAAGCAAGTGAGAAAGGTACAAGGAATTTGCAGTTTCAAGACTTCGAATGCATCAAGAAACTCAAGGTGCTATATCACATACTTTGCGTCTTATATTCTTTGTAACGGATACGTTGTATTATGTTACTTGAAAAACTTCTATCAAATCAAAGCGAGAAAAACACATATCTTTATTTCTGTTTGAAAATTCAAAATTTTAAATTACAAACGAAATGAAAATATGAAATGAATAAAATGTTCAAATTAAATTAACAAAGGGTTATATAAAAATGAATGAAATTTTGGGCATTGAAAAAAATAAATGTATTCTACTTTGTAATCATGTGTTCAGTGGCATCAGACTATTCATTATATGAAATAATGATCATAAAAGCTATATAATGCTATTTTTAGGCTAAATAAAATTAGTAGTTTATAACACGAAGCAAAGGCATCGACGGTGGATAAGGGCAGTGACTAAACAAAGTGCATGTACGTCAACGGGAGGGCTAATGTTAGCGTGGATATATGCGTGTGCGTGATTATAACGCCACATGGAGCGATTGAGCGTAATCTTGACGCACGCAAATGCGCGTGATTTAAATAAGCTTCCGGATGCGCGCATTGTGTGCGTGCGGACGCATAATGAGCTATTCAGGTGCTCGCGCATGTGCATACACACGAGTGCTGCTACGCACACGTTCACGTGAGCATATGTTCATGTAAGCCACATGCGTGAGAATGCTTGACTTATGACAGCGGGCCCGTATGCGCTTCTTTCTGCTATTGAAAGTAATTGGGTTTGTTCACGTGTGTGCTTCTGACAATGAATGTATCTCTCTGAGTACTTGGGTCCAAGAATGAGTGTGCAGCATATGCCCACCTGTAACAACCAACGAGTTTACTCATGGCTGAGATTTTGGCAACAAGTGGGTGTGAGCAAGTGTGTTCCTGAGCCAAGGAATAGGTTTACTCCTGCGCAGAATAATGATACAATCACTGAGATGGGGGCTTCGGCCTTCGGCTGAATATAAAGGCACAGGAGCAAAATGGAGATAATGGCCACCGATGCGAGATGTTCCGTAGGTACGAAGGGGCACCTCCAGAGGAAGAGTTCTCCGGGGAGCGGAGCGGTAGTGACCGCAGGAGACCGAAGTAAACCCCTCCAATGCCGAGAGGCGCAGTCAGGAGGCGGGTCGAGAAAAATCTGAATGAGACCTGGACAAACATGTAAGAGTTAAATCTAGCCTAGACTAGGTGTGATAGCACATATGCTTGCGCACGCCCATCTATGCGGGTACGTATTTGCTCGCGCACGCGTCTGAGTTGCGTGTGTTACGCGCGTGCGTGCGTTGCTGTGCATGCGTATGTACACTCACCCGCGGCGGCGCCGGACAACAGCAGCAGGTTGACGAGCGCGGCGCCCGTGTCGTGGCCGAGCAGCGTGACGCGGCCCGGGTCGCCGCCGAACGCCGCGATGTTGGTGCGCACCCAGCGCAGGCACGCCGCCGCGTCCTCCAGCGCCAGCTCGGGCTCCCCGGCGCTCAGCCCGCCCGCGCGCGTGCGCAGGAAGCCTGCAACCAGGGCAACGCCCACAGCATCACTCCCGTGCCGTTCTAAGAACTCTCTCAACGAGTGCGTGCCGTAGCACGAAAGGTGGCGGTGTCCCTCCTGCAACCACACGGAGGCCAACGTTCTCACTTCCGTTCTAAGAAGTCTCTTAACGACTGTGTGCTACATCACGGGAGATGGCGGTGCTCCTCCTGCAACCAGAAGCCCACATTCTCACTTCCATTCTAAGTAATCTCTCTCTCTCTCTCTCTCTCTCTCTCTCGGCTAGTGCATGCTAGGGTGGTCCCATAAAATCCTGGGTCACTAATTACTACTTGGGATATAAAGAAAAAAATCATTCAACTTTCAACTGAATCATCCTTTTCTCCAACCAACGTTTCACAGTTGTTTATTAATATTTCTATGCTTTTAAATAAAATACTCCGAATATTTTGTTCGTAATATGACCAAAAATTACTTTTCTCGCTCATACATACATGCAAATTTTGTTCTCTCAAGGTATTTTTCAAGATTTGATAAGTGGTCGAAGTCGTCGTTTGCCCAAACTGGACTGTAGGGTGAATGGACCAATTCATTGATGCCACAGTTCTTCAGAGCATTCTTTGCAACTGGGCAGTAAGCTCGTCATGAAGCTAAACACCACAGGATTTCATGCACCGCATCCAACTCAAGTTCCTTTGTTCAATACAAAACTGAGTGAGATGTCGGCTGCAAACTTACAGCATTACAATGAAAGACAATACTAACAACTGCTCAGAAGTTTTTCCCATTGATGAGCGTTATCTTGGTCTATTGGAAACTGATGGAACCGCCTCTATATACCCCGGAAGGTGGCAGTGTTCCTGCCCCTGCAACGTGCGATTCGGCGTCGACGTGCATGTCGGTTTGCGAGTATTTTTCTTTTCTTCGTATCTCCCCCAGCAGGACACGGCCACAGCCGGGACCAGTTCTAAGCTACCGATTGAACAGTCAGCGTGTGTAAAAGTTTAGTGCACTTAAGTGCGAGTGTATGTGTGTGTGTGTGTGTGTGTGCGCGCGCGCGCATGCGTGTGTGAATGTATGTAAGGGGAGAAAAGGGGACAAGGAAGAAGAAAGAACGCGCGCGGCCTGTTACTCGTATGAAGTACTCTCCAGCATTCGAAAGGCAGGAGAAACCAGGGAAATCTACCGATCAAAGCAGCCGGCTTCTAGGATTCTCTTCGGTGGCACTGAATTTGATCTAGCTCATGTCGAACACCCGCCACCGTCAAAACTGGTATACTGAGACTTCGCGGTCAACGATTTTGAAGACGAATCAATGTTACCACTGATCTGTTTCAAACTTTCTACGATGATGATGATGATGATGATGATGATGATGATTATTACAGTCGACTGTGATTATATTGTACTTATGTCACTGATCCCGTTCCACTTACATTACACATAAGCACAAGAAGCTTCAGTTGTAGTGGAGAGAGGGCAACTCCAGGAGTATATAGTTTCTATTTTGTTCTTGGGAAATGCTCTGTTTAAAGACGTTTGCGATGGCGGAATCTAAATATATTTTTTAATTGATACTTGCTATCTCTGTAGTAAATAATACATTTTTTTAAACGCTTATACTTATAGCTACCATGAGGCTGCAATTGATCTATTGGACTAGAATTTGGTAATGGTTATAGTGAGGTTGAGGATTCGATTTTTCTTCCTTTGATATTCCGCGTGACATTTCTTTAGTAGTAAATTTATTATTATTATTATTATTATTATTATTATTATTATTATTATTATTATTATTATTATGGAAAAAAATCGCCTCACACATTAAGCAGGAAATTATCAGAGGGCGAGGATTTCAAAGCATCTCAGGCGAGGCTCATAATATCCACGATCGACTCGACTCGACTCGAGAACAGCCAACACCAAGAAGTCGAAACCCCAACTCTAGAAATCTGTCTGAAATTCTCCAAAATATTGAAGGAGAGATTTGAGTAGTAACAAGAAGTAGTATGTTTTACGGTTTCTTTTTCATTTGAGCCCTTATATCTCATAATTTTAGAACAGCTTTATGCATCCTACCTTACTATATTATCAGATGTGTTACACACTTGTATCACATTAATTCAGATATCTGGACATGCGATTACATAACTTTCCTGAAATTATTTTTCTGCATTTACAACCACAAAAGGTATTTTATCACCTGGTATTTTATCAACTGCTTACCCGTCTGTGTATTTGTATTTTTGTTTGTTCACTTTTTGAATACTTTGATTGTCGTCTCTATTTGCCCCTTCCCCCCTCTCTCTCTCACTCTTTTGCTGTCTGAATGCGCCCGCCCGTCTTCCTGCTTCCGCATCTTGTGTCTATGCGTTTCTGCCAACCTGCCTGTCGTACTTTCCTGTTTGTCTGGCTGCCTGCGGCTTGCTTTGCAGCTTTCCTGCTTGTCAGCCTGGCTGTTGCCATTAGCGATGGCAGCCTTGCACAAACTATAGCAGCGTGCCTTTAAATGCTGCCACCATCACACCACAATTCTTCTTCCTCTTCGTGCTGTAATTTATTCTCCAGCAATACTGTGACCTGCGGTCGACCCAAATGCTTCTTCTCTCCGACCTTTGTGTCCGCGGTCGCAACGTCACGCGCTTCGTTCTGGCGGACTTCTCTATCTAACGGTTCTGCTCCCCTTCCCCGACACGACCTACCTCTTCCCTTCCGTTGCCACCTCTGCCCCTAGCGCCTCTCGCCCGGGTGCTCGACGCCCGCGCCTCTCTTAATATTATAAAGCGGCACAAAGCGACGAAAATACGGGGCGAAACACGAGGGCTCCGCTCGCTGCTATTGAACTTCAAAGCGAACCACGCGGTGCAGCGTGGCTCGCGGCTACGGCGCCCCAAAGGAGAGGGAGGGAGGGCGGTTGGGCCCCAAAGACAAAAAAAAGTGAAGGGAATAATGGAACAAAACGGGACACTAGGTAAGGCGAGAAAGGGAGAGAAAGGAAAATCAAGTGGTAAAGTCCAGATACAACACAATTTAGTCAATGAAAAAGCAGATGGAGAAGTATTACATAGATAATACTCTTTTCATAGACAATTAATTACAGAATATAGCGCGAAAAAAGTGATGAAAATGGAGTTTGATGGATGAACTAGATGAAAGGAATATAAGGAGGTGACAGAAAAAATCTACCCAATAGGGAGTAAGAAACCGATTGAAACTAATCCTCGCTTCGTTTGATGATTATAAAATTAAGTTCTTATTTTATTTTGTTTTTATGATTAAACCTCTAGATAATTTGCTAAACGGAGAGAATAAACAGAGGAAAAACAACATTAATGAGGGAAACGAAAAGGATGTACGAAATAAAATAGAAACGGAAGAGGCGCGTAAAAGACATGACAGAAACAGCAGTAAAAAGAGTCGAGAGAAAACGATAGCGTAGGGCAGAAGACACATGGCAATCTCATAGAGTTAGTTTCTAAAGGTACAGGGAGCATTTACTAAAAATAAGAATCAGAAGTGTGGCACAGATACTGGCGAGATGTCACCGGAGCTGGAAATGAAGTGAGTATTGCACAACTCATACTGTCAAGATTGTGGTCAAGATGCAATCACGTTGCTCCAGGCTTCTCCAAGGAGATTGGGTACAAAGTGACTCAGAATCGGTGAGCCTTATTAGATGGGCGAAAAGGTATCGTGGGAGTATTGTTGGTAAATCGAGTAATGAATATTTTACTACTTACTCAGACTCGTGCATCGCATTAAACTGTGACAAGAATGAGGATGTAGCTTGAATGTAATAGATCTTCGTGCAATACATTAGTCAAATTGTGTCACAACAGTCTCGTTTGAAGACTGATGGAATGAGTAGTAGGGTAGATTTATGTTTTCACATGAAAATCGATTTAGTTTGGAGACTCGTCGTCTTTTGTGAATATGGTGGTGTTGAAGAAAAAATAAAAATAAAGTTACTGACACTACAACAGCACGTACTTTTTTGCATCCGTAACGGTAAAATTATATTACTGCAGTTTCTAAGTATATTAACAAATACCAGACATCACTTGCTAAGTTCATTTCCGAATTCGCATTACGTGCGAAAATTTAATTCATTTAAAAGTAATACATTACTACAAATTCGACATTCGAAAACTCCATCATGCACCCAGAAACACCACCAACAATGAGATGTTATTCTGAGACTTTTACGCTTTAATGTCGCGGAGTTCCCATTGTTGTGTTCCAACACGATAATTACTTAAAGGTTCCAGCAAAATGATGTGGGAAATTAGAATATCCAAATTCAAAATTTTGCAAAATTATGCTAAACTACTTACATTTTAGAGTTGTAGAAAACCTTTTTAAATGGCCAATTTTTTAGAACAAATTTTATTCAACAAAAAAATCAATGTCATCGATATTGTTCATTTGGAATTTTCAAAAATACAGAGAGATTGTCGAAAAAGGGATCAGCACCATATTATTTACCGCCGTTTACTACATAGAGGATAAAACAAAGAAAAAATTGAAGCACGTTTGAAAAAACAATTGTTTTTTTTAATTGATTATACCTCACGCTAAAGTAAGAGAAAGTGGCTCATATTTTCACATATTCGAAAAATTGGACATGTTCTTATTTCAAGATCGGTCTTTGAACAACAGATTTCATTAATAAAAAATATATATTTTCAATATTGTAGCTGAGGAAAAACTTCAGCAAAATAAATAAAGAAATAATAAATAAAAATGCAATGTTCGTTAAATTAGAGATTTTAACTGAAATGAGACCCAAGCCATTTTACAAAGAGTTCTTTACGCTCATCAGAAAACAAAATTCGTTGAGAACAATTATGGCAATTTTTGAGAAAAAATTGAAAATGTGGAAGTGTAGTGTAAAATACCCCCCAAAATCAAAATATCCGTATAAATCTCTTAGAGTGTCAAGTTTGTTTAGGTCGATCAGGGAGGATTTGTTTAGGAGAAAATGGTGTTGGCGATTACCACAGTCAGAGACAGACATTTT